GATAGAGTGTTGGATTTGAAGTTGGAAAGGTCTAGGTTCGAATCTTATTTCTGACATCAATTGGCTGGGTAAGCATGAACAAGTTTCTCAGTTTTTCTGAGCTTCAAGCTCATCGCTAAGATTTAACCTAAGAAATTACAGACTGGTTGAGATCTGTGTGGGTGAAGGTTCTTGCACACTCTCAAAATGATGGGTTCTTGACATATTGAAGTATGATGTATTGAACTGAGATCATTGAAAAGAGATGTGGCAATTAATGTTTAGTGGGAGTGAATGGAATCTGATCCTTTTACAAATGAAATCTCAAAAGTTTGATCTGTGTGATGGATATAATTCTTGTCTCCAGCTTCGTAGGTGTTTATTCAGGAGAAGATGTCTGTGAAGCCCACGTGGAAGGGAGAATTCCTGGCAATCCTGAGACAAAAATTCTACATTCTGAAAAGTAATGGTTTTATCATTGTCCTCAGAATGCAGGCTTTCTGTCTCAGGATTGTCTAGATAGGGTTGCTTCTGGAGGTTGTAAACTGCTGTGCCTGAAAAGTTTCTTTTCTGGGTTTTCACAGGCATTAATGGAGTATAATGGGAGCCTTTCCTAGTCCCTTATCACAAAATCATCCATTTAAAAAGCATTTGCTGCTAAATGGTGGGGAAAAGGAACGGGACAACAGGAACACTTCTCCTGCTTCCAATAAGTGCCTGATCCCTCTAAAACATGGGGATTCTGAGAATCCTTGAACAAATGCTAGAAAAAGGATTGAACCTATGATTTATTAGTGTAGGGAATTCCAGGGTAAGGTTATATTCTCTTTCAATGTAGGTCAGTACTTTCTCTGCAACTTGAGTCTTAAAGACTTAATAGTCTTAACAACTATTAGAGGCAATCTGGTACACAGCATAGTGGATAGAACATGAGACCTAGAGTTCATATCCCACCTCAGACAATAGGTGTCTGATCCTGAGCAAGTCACTTAACTTCTGCCTGCCTTAGTTTCTGCATCTGTAAAATGGGGAGAATAACAATCCTGATATAATATTTCAGAGTGCTTTGTAAACTTTAAAGTTCTATCTATGATAGAATGCTGGTGATTATTGATATTGTTAATTAATATTATTAATAATAAGGAGTTATTTAGAGCACTGAAAGGATAAAAACTTGCCCAGGGTCACACAGGCAGTTTATGTCAGAGGCAGGCCTTGAACCAGACCAAGCTTTGCTCTCCATCCACTACACCATGCTTTAAGAATATAGAAATTGCTGTTCTCTATCTAGCACTTCAATTTAACTCAAGAAGGATTTTAAGTATCTGTTATGTGCCAGGAACTGAGAAAAAATAAAATTTCCACCCCAAATATCATGTTTTCTTCTGAATAAGCCCATTATATGTCTCTCATACATAGAACTAAGATTTTGGAAGCAACTATACATATATACATACATACATACATACATACATACATACATACATACATACATACGTATATATACACACACACACACACACACACACACACACATATTTATATATTTCTATTTTCAGCTGATATCACACCATATTCTTCAATCAAGTGACACTGGGCACCTTGCTATTCCATGAACAAGACACTGCATCCCTTTGATCTGAGCATTTTCTCTGGCTGCCCCCCACACTGGGAATGCTCTTACTTTTCATCTCTGCCTCCAGGCTCCCCTAGTTTCCTTCAGGCCTGCCTCCTATAGGAAGTCTTTTCCAATCCTGCTTAATTCTAGTGCCTTCCCTCTGTTAATGATTGCTTATTTGTCCATAGTTGCCAGCTTGTTGTTTCCCACATTAGATTATAAGTTCCTGGAGGGCAGGGACTCCCTTTTGCCTTTCTTTGTATCCTCACTATTTAATACAATGTATGATATATAGTGGGTGATTAATATATGTTTATTCATTGACTGACTGACTTCTGCCAAATGAGTTCCAAAAGTTTAGTGATTTCTTTTATTTGCCTAAACTTAACTCTTTAAAAAAACTACATTTTACTATAAACTTAATAACATCCTCAAGAAATGAAAATAAACAAGTAAACAACAGAATATAATATGCTAACTAATAATCTTGACCCTGGAGAAGGGATATGGAAGTACCTCCCTTCTGCAGGAGAGACATGGGTAACTAGGGATACAGAATTTGGCATAAATTATTAGAAAGGAAGAAGGAAATAAACAGTTTTTAAGCACCTACTATGTGCCAGGCAAGTGGGAAGCACTTGGCAAATATTACCTCATTTGATCCTCACTCTAGCTCTGAGAGGTAGTTGTTGTTATTATCCTCATTTTATAGTTGAGGAAACTGAGGCAGATGGTGGTTAAATAACCTGCCCAAGGCCATACAACTAGTTGATATCTGAGGTTTGATTTGAATTGATCTTCCTGACCCTAGGTCATTATGTTGATTGGTTTGCTTAGCTGTTTTTTTTTTCTTGTAAAGGAGGGCTCATTTGATTGAAGGGGGAGAGGGAGGTAAAGGGAAGGCAAAAGACTAATGTAAAAACAAAAGATGTCAATAAATTTATTTTTAAAAGAAAAATGCGAAATATGGAATAAAATCCTAAATAAATCTAAATGATATATTTTGTTTAAAAGGGAAGAGAATATATAATATAAACTTTAGCCAAATAATGATAATTGCCATTCATATAACATGTTAAAATTTGAAAAGTTCTTTATAGGCATTATATCATTTGAGTGTCTCAACAATCCTCTGAGATGAATAATACAGGTATTTTCCCCAAAAGAGAAAGCAATTGAAACCCAGAAATGTTAAAAGACTTTTCCAAAATCATATATCTAGGGGCAGCTAAGTGGCTTAATGGATAGAGCTCCGGCCTTGGAGTCAGGAGGACCTGAGTTCAAATCCAGCCTCAGACACTTGACATTTATCAGCTGTGTGACCCTGGGCAAGTCACTTAACCCCAATTGCCTTACCAAAAAGCAAAACAAAACAAAACAAAAAAGTCTAGTGAAATGTCAGAGGTGGGATTCAAACCCAGGATTTCATGCTGCTAAGTCTAGCACTCTGGCCACCAGTCCAGATCGCTTCTAACAATGTCTTCTCTGTCCTTCTTTCCAGTCTCTTCTTGATCTGTATTCCTAAAGTTGTGCTGCTGTAATATTTATTTATTGTGTTTTTGTTTATTGTTTCTTTGCATTCGTAAGTAATTCTCTATTTCTTTGTATTCTTTGTAGTTCTCATTTCCCCCCTCATAATAGTTTTCCATTACATGAATATACCACAGTCAGTCAATAAACATATATTAAGTGCCTACTATGTGCCAAGCACTCTGCTAAGCAGTAGGGATACAAAGAACAATAAAAGACAGCCCTGTCCCTCAAGGAGCTCACAGTCTAATGGGGGAGATAACAAGCAAACAAATATATACAAATAAAGTATAGACAGAGAGATAGGAAATAACAGAGGGAAGGCACTAGAAGGAAGAGCCCTTGGGAAAAGCTTCCTGTTGAAGGTGGGCTTTTAATTGGAACTTAATGGAAGCCAGGGTAGCTAGTAGGCAAAGATGAGGAAGAAGAGCATTCCAGGCATGGGGGACAGCCAGAGAAAACGCCCAGAGCAGAAAGATGGACTGTCTTATTTGAGGAACAGTACAGAGGCTATTGTCACTGGATTGGAGAGCATGTGGTGGGGAATAAGGTGTGAGAAGACTGGAAAAATAGGAGAAGGCTAGTTTATCAAGGGCTTTGAATGCCAAACAGATTTTATATTTGATCCTGGAGACATAAGAGGGCAGCTAGGTGGTGCAGTGGGTAGAGCAGCAGGCCTGGAGTCAGGAAGACCTGAGTTCAAAACCAGCCTCAGACACTAGCTGTGTGACCCTGGGCAAGTCACTTCACTTTTTTTGCCTCAGTTTCCTCATCTGTGAAATGAGCTGGAGAAGGAAATGGCAGACTACTCCAGTATCTTTGCAAGAAAACCCCAAATGGAGTCATAAGTGGGCCATAACTGACATACCACCACAAATAACAACAGTCATAAGAAGCCACTGGAATTTATTGAGTAGGGAGGTGACATGGTCAGACCTACATTTTAGGAAAATCACTTTGGTGACTGAATGGAGGATGGATTGGAGTGGGGAGAAACTTGAGGCAAGCAGACCCACTACAGTTTGTTAAGCAGTTTCCCAATAGTTAAACAGATAGGTTATCAGTATTTAATTATTTCAAAGGAAGCATCAATGAATGATTTTGTTCAGATAAGCCTTCTCCTGGCTCTCCTCCCCTGCCATGCTCCATTCAATAAAATTTAGGAAATAGTCCAAATAGTGACCTCTAGGTCAAAGAGCTTGATAGGCTAACCTTATCTCTCTTGAGTTTCAAGGGTTCCCTGTAGATTTGTTACACTTGGATCTGATGAAAAAGTTCAGGTTTTTACAGTCCTTAGTCATATACCTCATCCCTTAGCCTCCATTTTCCTAGTCTCAGGAGCTCTGATTTGTTTCATCTGCCATTGTATTTCAGCTCTGTCCCATTCCTCTTTGGAGCAAGAAACAGGGATGCTTTCTCACTTTGCTGTGTAAAAGGAGGCCAAAGAGGGGATCCCAGCTTCAGAAGCCCAGTTGTGCCCAAGAGTGGACTGAGCTGGCTCCTGGCTGCCCTCCCTCCTTTTCAGACTTCCTCAGCAGCTCCAAGTCAAACACAAATCTGGATATTGACAGGTGGAGGGCACTAATCTTAATGCCATGGCCCTCGTTGCCCTGGCCTCATGATAGCGTGTCTACCTCCCTTCTCTTGCCACACCCCTGCCTCCTCACATGTGGCAGAGTATTTCAGTAGCTTGTGACCTTCCTTACTTCCAGTGGAGCCACTTCCCATCACTGGCCAGAAGCTCTAGGCCTGTTGCTGCCCCTTACCTTTCAGCAGGACTTAGAAACAGGCTTGTTCTTCTCTATCAGGGATGGCAAAACTTCAGGCATAAACAGGAACAAGAGTCTCTGGTCCTAGAGAGCCTCAGCCAACAGATCCCCCAAGCCCTTGACCTCCTCCTGAGAGAAGAGTTGTCACAATGAAACGGAATCAGTCAATCTTGGATCTGGTAAGGATCTTCCCAAGAATAAGCCTTTCTCTTCTCACTTCAGACATGTCCCAGGAGTTTGGAGAACATCTGCCAGATCCCTGGATGACTAACAGGGCTGGACCTCAGCTGGAATTCATAGGATGGCAGGCTAGGAGCTTTTCTTTGTGTAGTTATAGGGACATTCCTAGCTTCATAGGTTAAAAACCCTGGGGACTGATGTCCTGGGATATACTTGGAGCAATAGCTGTTTGGAGGGTTGGCCAGAAACTCTTCTGAGGGTCAGATCTATCTCTGGATAGTCCCAGGATACAAGGTACTGGTGCCACTTGGCAGAGGAAATCTGGGAGTCAGGTTTCTGGAGCTCTGAGCACCCCTTTTTTGTGAGGCAATTGGGGTTAAGTGACTTGCCCAGAGTCACATAACTAGTGTGTGTTATGTGTCTGAGGCCGGATTTGACTCAGGTCCTCCTGACTCCAGGGCCAGTGCTCTATCCACTGCACCACCTAGCTGCCACCGAACACCTATTCTTAACCTGTACCATTTCTCCAGAGAACACTTCCTTGTTCTTGACTCTCCTGAGACTTGTGGTCAGCGCTTCTCTAGAGAGCACCTCCAAGGAGGGGGCCAAAAATGATTGAATCAATGAATCAGTGAATGAATAAAGCCTTTATTAAGTGCTTGTTATGTGCAAAGCACTGTGCTAAGAGCTGGGGAATATAAATAGAAGAGTGTGACAGTCCCTGCTCTTAAGAAGATCACATTCTAATGGGGGAGTCAACATATGGAAGGTTTCAACTCCAAATCAGATGGAAAAGTCCCATGGTCCTCAGGGTGCAGCTGCAAAGTAGATGTTAATTCCTCTTATTTAATGCCATTTCCAGTGACAAAATCATAACTGTTTCTGATATTGAACCATTTGGCAATGCCAAGTGGTGGTTTGGTGGCCAGACATTCTTTTCTGGGTCTTCAAAAGACATGGCTGCAGCACTACAGTCACCAGGCTGCATCTTCCACAAAATCTGCTTCCCAGGATGATGACAGCAGGCACTGGCTACCTCAAAGGCATTGCTATCCCAAAGGCTCTTGGGTACAGTGTCCACGGCTGTCCCTACCAGGGTCTGAGGGAAGATGGTGGTCAAGATAGTGGTGGTAGTTTGATTTGCCTGGCACAGGCTGTCTCCTATCTCTTTCAGGGTGCCCTTCTCTGCCAGCAAGGAAATGTTCTCCTGAGAGTCAGTCCTACAAAGTTCCTTCTATACAAAGCGAGAGAAGAGAAGAATGGGGGCAGGGAGAGAAAAGGAAGAAGGGGTATGTTTGTGGGGGTACAAGTATCTGAAGGACTGTCACATGCAAGAGGTATTTGTTCTACCTGGTCCCAGACAAAACTAGGAGCAGTTAGTGAAAGTTCCAAAGAGGCAAGTTTAGGCTATGTTATAAGGAAAAGCTTCCTAACAAATATAACTCTCCAAAAGTGGATTGGGCTATCTCCAAGAGTAGTGAGTTCCCCATCACTGGAGGTCTTCCAGCAGAGCCTGGATAACCACCCCAAAGTATGGGGTACTTCTCATTTTTTATATATAAGTTGGACTGGATGTCTGCTGAGGTACCTTCCACATCTAAATTCTTCAATTGAGAGGCAATAAAGGACATGGAGATAGTATTAGATTTGGAGTCAAATCCTGGATTGAAATCTCACCTCTGCTACTTAACTACCTGTTTGATCTTGGGCAAAAACATTTTCCCTCTCTGGACCCCAAGTCCTCATTTGTAAAATAAGGGAAGGGGACTAGTTGATCCACAAGGTCCCTTCCGATTCCAAATCTATAATCTTGTGGTCCTGTGATCCTGTAATTTGGCAAAGGCAAAGGCCTATGCCAGGCTTCTTTTAAGTGCCAGCTAAAATCCTGCCTTCTGCAAACTTTCCCAGTCCCCCTCAATACCAGTGGTTTCCCTCTGCTGTTCTCTTTCCTTCAGGTTATCCTGTATATATCTTATTTGTTGTATATAGTTATTTACATGTTTTCTCTTCAAGGGCAGGGACTGTCCTTGCCAGTCTTTCTATCTATCCTCAGTACTTAGCACAGTACCTGGCACATTTGCTGTTGTTGCTCTTCAGTTGTTTTCAGTTGTGTCTGACTCTTCGTGACCCCATTTGGGGTTTTCTTGGCAAAGATACTGAAACAGTTTGCCATTTCCTGCTCCAGCTTATTTTACAGATGAGGAAACTGAGGCAAACAGGGTTAGGTGACTTGCCCAGGGTCACACAGCTAGTAAGTATCTGAGACCAGATTTGAACTTAGGTCTTCCTAACTCCAGGCCTACTGCTGTATCCGCTGCACTATCTAGCTGCCCAACCTGGCACATAGAAAGTACTTAATAAATGCTTGTAGATTTGTCCTGACTTGGGGTGAATCCGGGGTGGCTCATTAGAATAAACAGATGAGTGGGCCCACTCTGAGGAGGCTATTGCTTCTTCTTCAGCCTGTGCAGGAACTCCCTGAGAAAGAATATGCCTGTCCTGAACCAGGGCTGCCTTCCACATGTGTGAGGAGCCCCAGAACTGGGCATCAGACAGAAAGAGCCAGAAAATGGGCTTCCCACTCTGACACAGCCACCGCACCTCACCCTGGGCAGTCAGTCCTGAGCAAGCTCCCCGCTCCAGCTCTGACAGGGGCATTCCTGGTAGTTGACAGTGGTGACTAATGACCGAGTCCTGAAACAGCTTGATCAGCATTTGGACAGGTCAGCCCGCTCCTGGGCCTGGCCCTGGCCCTAGCCCAGGTCCTTCCTATAGCTTCCTGTGTGGGCAGGCTGCTACCAACTGTCTAACATCTGGTAGGAGGGCTAGACAGGTAGACCTGGGGATTCTCCCTGGTGGTGGAGGTAACATGTCTCTCTCCTGATTGCCTTTGACTAGGACTAACTCTGCTACAAACAAAGACAGAGAGCAGACAGGAAAGGAACAGCCTAAAAGGGGAGTCAAAGAAGAGATCTTGAGATGGTATTTGGGCAGGAGTGTCTAGGAGTAAATGAGGCCCTTGATGGGCTTATACAGAATTGGCACCAGAAAGACACCCAGACTTCTATTTGCTTTTATGCATGAGTGAGCAGGGAAGAGGAGAAGAGAAGCCTAGCAGAGGTCAGCTATAGGGGCACTGGCAACTATTCATTGTTCAACAAAGTACTTACTATGTGTCAAGCACTACACCAGATACTGGGGATACAAGTGCAAAGAGTAAAACAATCCCCACTCTCACGGACCTTACATTCTAATGGGGGAGACCATGAGTGTATATAGAAATATAAAGTGGATAAATACAAATGTATAGAGAGTCATTTGGGAGTGAAGAGGAGAATCAGGAAAGGCTTGAATGTTGAAGGGGGATGCTTGAGCTTTAGCATTTAATTAGCTGCTATTCTACTTTCAAACAATCCTGGCTCCGGAGCTGGAAGGAACTTTCAAAGTCATCTAGTCCTAACCCCTCAATTTATAAAAGGGGATCTGAAGTCCATTGAGATTGAGACCTCACTTGAGGTCACATAGGTAGTAAGTGGCAGAGCCAGGATTTGAACCCAAATCCAGTGACCTTTTCCCCTGGACCATGCTGCCTTCCATGAATTGCATGAATCTGAGATGAATGACAGGCTTCAGAGGACCTAGGTTGAATCTTCAGTCCTCTGCTACTATCTATGTGACCTTGTCACTTCAACTCATTGGGCCTCAGTTTGCTAGTGGTTGAATTAGACAAGCAGTTCTCAAGCTTTTTGGTTTGAGGACCCTTATATACTCTTAAAAATTATTGAGGACCACCCCCACCCCCCAATAACTTTTGTTTGTATTGGTTAAATCTATTGTTATTTGCCATATGAGAAATTAAAACACCCTAGTGTTGTTATGAAAATACTTTTGACCTTGTAGGCCCCCATGAAAGGGCCTCAGGAATGCTCAGAGAACCCCAGACCACACTTTGAGAACCACTACATTAGATAATCTCTAAGGTCCTTTTAGCTGGAGGCATTTGGTATCCTAGGCAAAAATCATGAAACAAATATGAACTTGTCCAGGCAGCATGAAATCAACTTTGTAATTCGTGACATGAAAATACAAGAAATTTAGACAAATTAGATTGAGTGGGAGAGAAGTAGTTACTATAGGGACATCTAGCTGCTGGGTGAATACATGTGTTAAAAGTCAGTGCATTCAGGCATTGCCCAAATTGTCCTGCCCTGGTTAAGACTAATTCCAGATCTAAATTCTCTAATCCTGTGACCTCTGTGTTTTGTCTCTAATACTTGTAGTATTGCAAAAAATTTCAAAGCAGGGTCTGGCAGAGGCAAAAGGCTTGCAAACAGGGACTTCCAATGAGGAATTCATGTCCTTCTGAGTTTCTGAAGTCGACTTTCCTCCGCTGTCCCTTGGAATAAAAGGAATTGCTCATTATTAAACAATCAAGAAACATTTATTAAGTGCCTACTATGCATCAGACACTGTGCTAAGTGCAGAGGATTTAAAAAGAGGCAAAAGACAGTCCTTGCCCTCAATGAACTTTCAATTGCATAAGCAAGATGCAAACAAATATATACAAACTACATACGGATAACAGAGGAAAGGCACTAGAATTAAGAGGGGTAGGGGAAAGGCTTCCTTTAGAAGATAGGATTTTAGTTGGGACTTAGAGGAAGCAAGGGAAATCAGTGTTAAGGACTGCATTTGATGCAAGGCCAGAGCCCTTGAAGAAAGTGTCCTACAGGTGCCTTCTTCCCTGCCCAGTTCACCTTTGGGGTATAGACAGCAGGGGATCCCAGGTCCCAGTGCTTTAAGGGGTACAGCTGCTGCAGTGTCAATGACTGGGCAGTAATTTAGGAGGAGGCTAAGTAAGAAAATTTCCACCAGTGGTGCTAAAAAAACCACAAAAAAACCAACAAATGATATGCAACTAAACTCTATTAGGAGAAGGAAAACCTGTCCCCAGTGATCTGCTTTCTCTCTTCTTCATCTCTTACCCTTCAGGCTACAGGCTTCTTTTTTGTGATTTCTTTTATCCTTCAAGAGGGCTCTGGAGGTTCATTTTAAGCTGCTTTACCTGTCCCCCCTTCTGTTCCTATGATTTCACTTACCAATGAATTCCTGGTGTGGAAACTCTCTCCACCAATGCAGATAGGCAGCTCAGCATAACTAATGGTCTTATAAATTTTTCTGGGGCTCTCAGGTTAAGTAACTTACCCAGGGTCAAACAGTCCATATGTGTCAGAGGCAAGATTTGAACTCAGGTCTTCCCAGTCCCAAGGTCTGCCTTCTTTCTACCATGTCAGCCTACTTTTAAACCTATTTTTGCCTGGATAAAAATGTATTGGGGAGGGGAGAAAGTGTGATTTTTTTTAAGCCCCAGCCCAGAATAGCCTGAGATGTCTCTGAAGATGACTCTAGAAACCACCAGAAGGTATTAAACCAAACTAGAGTGCCGGAAGGTCTTTAGGAATCAAGTTGGAGGGTGGCTTAGCATGGGGGGAGAACTTGTGGCCTCGAGGCCAAGGTCAAAGGGCTGCACTGGAGGACCTAGAGGGCTACATGTGACCTAGAGGCTCAGGTTCCCCACCCCTGACCTAAACATAGGTGCAGGGAAGAAGAATTCAATTGGGAGTTAGAGAACCTGGGTTCAAATTCCTTCTCTGATGGTTACTATGTATATGACCTTCAGCAAGTCCTCATCTGTAAAACAAAGGGGGAGACCAAGTGATTTCTAAAGGTCTCCCACCCTGCAACATTGACTTTAAGAACTGCAGTAAAGCAGCCTGCCCTTGGGTGCATTGGGAGCATTTCTCACCCATCTTCCTGAAAATGTTTCTGAAACCTCCCCATCTGCGCCATCTTCTGCCTCACTATATTAACTCTAAATGAATGAAGCCTATGATTTAGGATCATAAAATCTAGTGCTGGAAGAGACTTCAGAGCCATTCACTCCAAAGCCCTCTTTCTGCAGATGAGGAAAACCAGTCTTTGGGTGGCTTAAAAATGGCTTACCTAAGGTTACATAGGAAGCAAATAAACGCCAAGATTTGAATGACCTTAGGTCCTCTGATGCCAAGCCTGGTGTTCTTTGTACAATGCCACACACAAAGTCACAGCACTGTGGCCATCATGAGAGACTTGAGGGGATCCATGTTGGCCTGCCATTGATCTGCCTTTCTATAATAATTCTGTGCGGGTTCTTGAGAACCTAAGAGGCTCTCCTCTTCCAGTGGAAAAAATAGTAGTAAGTGGCACTTTATGGTGCTTTAGTTTCTAAACCTATGTTAATATAGATAATAATCTCATTTTAGGGCAGCTAGGTGGCACAGTGGATAGAATGCTGGCCTGGACTCAGGAAGACTCATCTTCCTGAGTTCAAATCTGGTCTCAGATACTTACTAGCAGTGTGACCCTGGGCAAGTCACTCAAGCTTGTTTGCCTCAGTTTCCTCATCCGTAAAATGAGCTGAAGAAGGAAATGGAAAACCAGTCTAGTATCTCGGCTGAGAAAACCCCAAATGGGGTCACAAAGAGTTGGACACAAAACAACAACAGCAGCAATAATCTTATTTGAGTCCTCTCATCAACTCTGAAGTAAATGCTATTGTTATCCCTATTTTCTGATGGAAGAAGGAAGGGAACCAGCACCTATTATGCTAAGTGCTTTACAGATGTCTCGTTCGATCCTCACAACAATGCTGGGAGGTAGGTGCTGTTATGATGCCCATTTTACAGTTGAGGAAACTGAGGCAGAAATTAAGTGATTGTTCTCAGGGTCACAAAGCTAGTAAGTATCTGAGGTTGTATTTGAACTCAAGTCTTCCTGACTCCAGGCCCAGGACCCTATCTCCTGCTGTTAGAGACGATAAACTTACTTATACTCATACAGTTACTAAGCATAGGAAATGGAACTTTCACTCAGGTCTTGCCTGACTCCAGGTCACATTTGATACTTATTCCACTATAAGCTCCTCCCTCTCTGGTAAGAACACAAGGCCTTCATTTGAGTCTGGGTTTCATCAGTTATTGGTTATGTGACTCTTATCCTCTTAGTCTCTCTGAATCTCAGTTTCCTGTGCTGTAAAATTAGAATAATAGGACTTGTACTACCTATCATATAAGGCTGTTGTGAAGCCTTTCCTGATTACCCTTCCCAGTGAAAATGCCCTCTCCTCAAAATCACCTTGCATTGTTTTGCATAAACAAATCTGTGTATTGGTTGTCCTCCCAGGCTGAACAGTAAGATCCTTGAAAGTTAGAATTGTTTTGTTTTGTCTCTGCATGCCCAACTTTTAGTAGAAGGCCTAGGGGCAGCTATGTGGTGCAGTGGATAGAGCACTCACTGGGCCTAGAGTCAGCAAGACTTGTCTTCTGGCCTCAGACACTTACTTACCAGCTATGTGACCATGGGCAAGTCACTTAACCCTGTTTGCCTCAGTTTCCTCATCTGTAAAATGAACTGAAGAAGGAAATGGCAAAGCACTCCAGTATCTCTGCCAAGAAAGCCCCAAATGGGGTCACAAAGAGTTGGACACAACTGAAACTACTGAACAACAACATCACATAGGAGGAGAATAATAAATGCTTGTGGATTGAAATGAGAGAAGATATCATACTAATAAAGATAGCCTGGCACAGTGAAAAGGGCACTGGATTTGGAGTCAGAAACCCAGGTTCAAATCCTGACTCAGCTATGTAATTAGCTGTGTGACTTTGGGTGAGTCACTTAACCAGTGACCTCAGTTTCCTCATCCATAAAATGAGGGAGTTGGACCAGATGATCTCTGGGTTCTTGTGTGTCTAACAGCTCACATTTCTATAGCATTTTAAGGCTTACAAGGTGCTTGTACAAATGTCATCATCCCCATTATTTTGTTCAGTCGTAGTTGAGAGTAGCTAACTGAGGTTCAGACTTGCCTGTGGTTCAAAAGTGACTTTCATGCTAGTAAGTTTCAGAGCCTAGATTTGGGTTTCCTGTCATCTAGTCCGGTGCTTTCCCCCCTACATGATATACAGGATTTTTTAACCATAAAACACATGGTATAGTGGAAAGAGAATTGGCTCTGGAATCCGAGGACCTGGGTTCAAATCCTGAGTCTGATACTCACGTATATGACTTTGAGCAAGATTGCATAACTTCCCCAGGCCTGAAAAAAAAATGGGAGAATTGGACTAGATGTGCTTTGAGATCCTTTCTGTCTCTAGATCTAAGAACCTATGATAAATAAATCTCAGAGGTTTCTGCTAAAACTGATACTGATGCTTGGTTGATAGTAAAATTGGGGGGGGGGAGAAGACAGCTGTGCAGTGGGTGCCTTCTTATCTGCTCAGCATGCTTCTTTCCCTTACACCTTTCAAGCCAGCTGTGCCACAGTGGAGTAAAGAGGGAACATGGCCCCAGCGACAACGTGAGCTGCCTCAGGAAAGGAGCTCTCAGGGTACAGATAATGTTTCTGCTGATTGGGTTTCATCCTTCCAAGCCCTGTTATGGGTCATGTTTATCTCATGAGAGCTCTGGAAAGATGGGCAGAGTCAAGAAGATTAGTCAGGAAAATATCTAAGGCGAGGAGGGGGTTTACCTAACAGCACCTGTTATCTCTTTGGGGCTGCCTGGATCACAAGCCAGGAGGTGACTGAGTTTCCCTGCTGTTTGTTTATTCTGGACAGGGCTTCCCGAAGCTTGGGAGGGACTTAGTGGGACCTAGTAATAAAGGTCAGATGATGAAAGGGAAACAGAAACTTGTGGGCTCCCAAGGACCATGTTATACATTTCCAAGGCTGTTTAGGAAAATTATTTTTTAAAAACCTGCATAAAGTGAAGTGAGCAGAAGCAGGAGGACATTGTACATGGTAATAGCAGTATTGTATAGTCATCAACTGTGAATGACTTAGCTATTCTCAGCAATACAGTGATCCAAGATGATTCCAGTGGGTTCATGATGAAAAATGCTATCCACTTCCAGAGAAAGAACTGATAGAGTCTAAATGCAGATTAAAGCATACTACTGTTCATTTTATTTTTTTTCCTGTTTTTTTTTCTTTTGGCTCTGTGACTTTTTCCCACAACGTGACTAATATGGAAATATGTTTTGTGTGATTGCACATGTATAACCTATATCAAATTCTTACCGTATTAGGAAGTGGTGAGTTGAAAGAGGAAGAAACTTTGGAACTCAAAATTTTTTAAAAATTAATATTAAAAATTGTCTTTACATGTGACTGGGGAAAAATAAAATATTACTTTTTAAAAAACTTATATAAATTATGAACTATCTATAAAAATAATTTAGAATTTTATATATATGAAACTATTTAAATTAATACTTTCTTACCAGGATCCAAGAACTTAGATCTTCTGAAGCTAAGTCTAGTATTCCAAGTTCAGTATTCTTACCTGTAAAAATTTTTTTTAATTTAAATATTTTTAAAATTCACAATTGGATTGAGGATTCTTCTTTAAGGACCATATACCTGTGTCCTTCTCTTTTTATATCTATGCCTCTGACTCCCTTCTCTCCTGTGGCAGGTGGAGCAAATCTTGTCTGAGTTCAGGCTACAGGAAGAAGACCTGAAGAAAGTGATGAGGCGGATGCAGAAGGAGATGGACCGGGGCCTGCGACTGGAGACCCATGAAGAAGCCAGTGTGAAGATGCTCCCCACTTACGTGCGCTCCACCCCAGAGGGGTCAGGTAGCTGTGTTCCCAAAGATTTCATGAAAGGGCTCCAGTTCCCATCCTTGGCCAGACCCTACTGAGCTCCTAGTTCAGTGATTCCTTAATTTCCACTAGGTGGAGCTCCTCAGATGTAGCTTCAGAAAGGTTGTAAAAGAACATTGGGAGGAGGAAACTGCGCAGATGTCCGTGTGTCCTGACCACTGGTCCAGGGTCTGCTCTCAGTTCTATTGGTCCATGACCTTGGTGATCATCTTGTTCAGGGATGAGCAAACCCTGGGAAACACTTGCCACCAAACTCACTTCTATGAACCTGGCTAGGTCCATAACTTGTAAACTAACAAATTAATTTTCAAAGTTCTCTTCTGAGATCCCATGGGGGTGTAGAGGTGATCTAGGGTTCTTAACAGCTGTGCCAGCAGGGCACACCTTCTAGTAGAATCTACCAAGCTGGAAGTTTTTGTGTTTGGCTCTGCCAGTAGACCTAATATCTTTTATCTGAAGACCATCCTAGCTGGGCTCAGAGGGGCTCATCACCAGGTTTTTTTCAGCCACAAAAGCTTAAGAAGACTGTTTACAAAGGGAATCTATCTTGACATCACAGATAAAGTAAAAATTAGGTATAGTGGGAGCCATTGTAGTCTGATTATCAAGACTGGTCATCTGCTTAGGGCCTTCTCCTTTCTGATGGGAAAGTCCATTCATTCATTCACTTACTTATACATTAATTTATTCACTCATCCATCCATCCATCCATCAATTTAACTAATTTCTTTTTTTTTAATTTCTTTTTTTTTATTTTGGCAAGGCAATGGGGTTAAGTGACTTGCCCAGGGTTACACAGCTAGTAAATGTTATGTGTCTGAGGCCAGGTTTGAACTCAGGTCCTCCTGAATCCAGGACTGGTGCTCTATCCACTGCGCCACCTAGCTGCCCCTATTTAATTAATTTCAAAAGATTTTTTTAGTTTATTTGTTTGGGTCAAGACCTGATTTTACCGGTATAGGGAACTCCTATTGTGGAAACTTCCTCCACTGACAGAAATCAGCAACTGGTCTGTAACTCCTAGCCTTAGAGAGCTGCCTGGGGGGGGGGGTAGCACTGACAGGGTAGGTAACTTGCCCAGGATCACACAGCTAATAGGTATTAGAGGCAAGGTTTGAACTCCAAGGATGGCCCTTTAATGTCCCCTCTGCTGACTGTCATCAAAGGGTTTCTTACTAAATGTATAGGATGCTTTGATCTGTCTTGGTAAGTCACCCTTCTTTGCTGTCTGCCTCTTCTCTGAAAAAAAGAGCACTTGCATTCTTGGACCATTTTGGGGAATACTTGGCACTGACCAATTCTTACTCAAGCTCCACTCTTCCTAGATTCTTTGCTGATCCCCTGCCTTCTGATTTCAGTATCCACCTAATTTCTCTATGCTTTTGCCTTCCCTATTCCTTTCCCAGGAAAAAGCCATTTGGCAAATTTCATCCCACTTCCTCTGGCCCTTCCTACTTGTGTACATTTCAGCGGGTGACAATTCTTTCCTGGGGACAATTTGTCCCACTGACCCTTGACCCTTCCACTGTCCAATATGAGGCCTAACCATATTTCAGCCCTCTGTAGCCCTCCTACCACTCACTATTGTGAACCTGTAGTCCAGAGGTTCCAAAACTTATTGGCTTACTGCCCCCTTTTAAAAAAAATTACTCAGTATTCCCTGGAAATCTACTCTCTTTAATCCTTTACTTTTTAAAAAAATTTTACATCATTTCAAAAATTTTAATTTTTTTAAAAAGTGACACATCTTAGAGTAAATTTATGAGTTTTTTCCTTCACTGAAATTTTGATGATATAATATTGCATCATGTAACCGTGTAGTGTCTTGTTGTAAATAAGTCACTGTACGCACTTATTCCTGCCTATGCATGCTGGACTCCCCAACAATATATGACAACACTTGCTTGTAAAGATGTGTTAGTGTATTTGACCACTGATGAGTTATAACTTGCATTTTGTGTGTTTATTTGGAAAATATTGTAATCACTATGACATTAACTCTGTTACACAACAGATGAAATGTGTACAGTTTTTCAAAATTTTCTTCTTTTCTTTTGCTTCCAATGCCCCCTTATTTTTATTCAACGCCCCCCAATTGCACATAAGGCTACTACCACCCCTCTGGATCTTTTCCCCCCAGGGACAGTATTGCCCACTTAGGGAACCTGTGTTCTAGTCAGAACATCTAACCTCGTCATGCTAGTAAAGGGACTTCTGGGGAGTCAGGAGCATAGAATCTTGTCCCTTATCTCTGGTTCACTGGATCTCTCTGCTGTTCTTCCCTGGTCCTGATCCTTCATATCCCCAGACTCCCGATGGTTAAGGTTGCTCACCGATCTTGTAGGTGTGGCCTGAAGCCTCTATCAGGAATGAGACTGTGTGGTACAGTGGAAATAGCATTGGCATGGAGTCAGAGAACCTGGGTTCAGATCCCAGCTATTTGATTTACTCTCTGTTTGACCATAGGAAAACAAATTGACTTCTTTTGGTTTAGTTGCCTTATGTAAAAAGAGGGAGCAAGAGAGGGTTGGACTAAATGACCTCTGAGTTCCCTTCCAGATCTAAATGCAGTCATACCAGGACCCTTGAGGAAATGACCACACACACACACACACACACACACACACACACACACACACTCCCATGACCCATCCCTTATTATGCCTTTGCCTTTCTTCTCTGAATCATGGGGGTCCCTGCCTATATCCTGGTGATTTTCCTACTCCAAAATTAGTTTCCTGGTTAGGCTAGAGGATGTCTTGATACATCCACTCTGCATACAGGAGGCATTTAATCAGCGTCTTTTGTTTTTCTGTTGGGTTGTAGAAGTGGGAGACTTCCTTTCCTTGGATCTGGGTGGCACCAATTTCCGGGTAATGTTGGTAAAAGTAGGAGAAGGAGAGGAAGGTCAATGGAGTGTGAAGACAAAACATCAAATGTACTCTATCCCTGAGGATGCCATGACGGGCACGGCAGAAATGGTAAGGCCTAGCCTACTCAAGTGTGGCCTGTCTTCGGGCCTTAGGAGTGAAGGGGAGCACTAGGGCCAAGGGCATAACCAGGGATGAGCTTAGATCTGCCCCCAAAAATGAATAGTCTCACAGGAGCACTGCCTCTATTGGAAAAACTCTCCTAATTCCCCAAAGGAATGGCTTCAGAAAGAGAACTCTGGGCTTGATTCCCAGTGAGTGTGGGTGGTCTAGACCCAAGGAGCAGCTGCATAAAGGAGTTCACTGAACTGTAGTAGAAAGAGCCTGGGATTCAGAGTCAGAAGACTTGAATTGGAATCTAGTCTGGGCTATGACATTTTCCAAGTAGGTGACTAGTCAAACTACTTGACTTTTCTGCTTCCTCAACTGGAAAGTGGAAGCTAGATGTGGGAGGGAAATGAAATATACTCAAGGTACCTACCAGGTACCCACCTTTTGCAAGGAAGGAACCTTATAAAAATGTAAATATCTATGTAAATGTTCATTATTATCATGTTGACATTCAGCATCCAGATACCAAGAACCATTACTCAGTGCATCTGCCCAAAGGGTGCCTTCCCTTCTGACAAGATATCTCAGCACTGATTCCATTCCATTCCATTCATCAAACATTTATTAAGTTTCTATTATATACCAGGTACTGGCCTGGGCACTGGGGATACAAATATAAGTAAACAAACCAATCTCTGACCTCAAAGACCTTTCTCTCTCCTGGGCATATCCAGCAGATCCATAAGTCCATAAATACAGAGTCATTTCAAGAGGGAGATAGTAGGATGTGACAGCATTGGGCCATGGTATTGTTATTACTGTTCCCTGCTTTAGACTCATTGCTCAGTTGAATGGCCATGGGTGAGAGCACCAGTATACACTTTCTTCTCATATCCTCCCCAGAGTCCACTCCCAATGTGGAGTGGACTTCATCCCTGGGGACAAGGTTTGCCTTTGTTATGGGGCAGGCATGGCCTTCCTGTCCCGTTGGGACTTACAGTGTCCTCCATGTTCATGTCCTTCCCAGCTATTTGACTACATCTCTGAATGCATTTCTGATTTCCTGGACAAACACCAGATGAAACATAAAAAGTTGCCTCTGGGCTTCACATTCTCCTTCCCTGTGCGACATGAAGACATTGACAAGGTAGGTATTTGGACCGAGGTCCTCTGACCCCAACTCCAGCATCCTTTGGCCCCAGCTTCAGCATTTGTTCCACTGCAATGTGTGGCCTGATATGTACAAGAAGTCTTTAAAAGTAGAAACAAATTGTCAGTAATCCAATGAGAACTTATTCAAACTCTCTTTTAAAAAAATGTGAATCTAAGTCTGGCTCTTTTCTCAGTATCTCAGTGTTCTCTTTCTATACGATGGGGAAATAGTCCCTATTGTGAACTGCATGAAGGTTGGGCCATCTCTTGGGTTTTTTTGCCTCCCTCCTACATCACAAGGTGTGTAGTTTGGCCTGTAGTAGTCACTCAGTAAAGGTCCATTGAATGAGTGCTCCCCTCCCAGGGGGATTTTTTTTTTTTTTGGACTAGGTAAAAGAGGCCATTCTTTGCCTCATTTCTTACCTAGCCTTAATCACTGAATGGGTGTTGCCTCAGCCAAACTAAGGCCTGGGAAAGACCTTAGCTTAAAAAGGCCAAGGTCTCCCACTGCATCCAGGGCCATCTTTAGTCATCCAGGTCTGTATCTTGTCATTGGAGCCAGATGGCTCTAGAGGAGAAAGTGATGCTGGTGACTCTGCACAGCCCTCCCTCACTTAAATCTAATTCACTTGCAAGTCATGACATCACCTTCCTGATATCATGGTCCACTTTGAGAATGAAGGACAAACAACAACAAACAATTGAGTGAAGGAATGAATGGATTGGCATGTGTGTGTATATGTATATGTGTGTATGTATACATGATGTGAAGTTATTGAGGCTTCTTGGCAAGGGTGAGCTAGAGCCAGGTTAAATGAACTCATGAGAACTTAGTGTTAAATTTTCAGTGTGAACATTCACACCTTGGAAATCAGCAAACAGTTAAAAATATAACCTTGATTTATTGCTTTGTTGATTGTGTAACTTAGGAAGGTGGTAAAAAAATGTTAATGATTCAAATTAAACTTAAAAGTGTGTCCTGTATGCATGTACATATATATATATATATATATATATATATATATATATATATACATATATATACTATATATGTTTATGTATATGTGTGTGTATGTGTGTGTGCATATGTGTGTGTGTGTGTGTGTATATATAGATATATATAGAGATATATATATAGAGAGAGAGATATATATATAGATATATATAGTTAAACATTTACCAGCATACTACTTCTACTATGAGAAAAGCTGCCCATGATATCTATTTCTTGCCACCCTGGAATATAGCTCCCAGTAGAGAAAGTTGCTCACAGGAGCTCCTCAAACTTCCAAATTAATAAATAGTAATGTATACAAATGGTTTTCCTTCTCCCCAAAGGGAATCCTTCTCAACTGGACAAAAGGCTTCAAAGCATCAGGTGCTGAAGGGAACAACATAGTTGGACTCTTGAGAGATGCTATCAAGAGGCGAGGGGTAAGATGGAAACCTTGCCTATCAGGTTACCCTAAGCTCTCTCTCCTTCCCATCCCTCAGTGTTTCTGGCCTATGAAGTGGGTGGCCTGCCTCAGCTCTGCTTGTCCCTTTCAGGTCTCCCTCTTTTTCCACCATTGCCTCTGAGGCTGGTGAGGTTGGGAAGAAAGTCCCTGACTTAGCAAGAGGCCCTCTCCCACCTGGTCCCCCCCCCAAAGCCAAGTCATGGTAGCCCTTTATTTCTCCCTCCCTTTAGTCCCCCTTAGGCTCCCCATCTTCTTATGCTTGTACTTCTTGGCAGGACTTTGAAATGGACGTTGTTGCCATGGTCAATGATACAGTGGCAACAATGATTTCCTGCTACTATGAAGATCGCCAGTGTGAGGTCGGCATGATTGTTGGTAAGGAACCCTTTCTGTACCCCATGTACTTGAGGCTTCAATAATCAAATACTTTTCCAAAGCTGAAAGGGTCCTCTGAGAATCACCTTTCACACCTAGTGCTATATTCAGTTCTTGAGTTAGAAGAACTAGACAATTCTCCTACTTGTTCCTTCCTACCTTTCTATTTTATTCTCTGCTCCCTTCACACATAATACGTTCTAGCAAACTAGACTGCTGGCTTCTTTCCCCACTTGGCATTTGTATAGGCCTCCTCTCATGCCTGGAATGCACTCCCTCCACAACTCTCTCATACTGAGATCCGGCCCAGGTCAGGCTACTTTTAAAAATCATAGGATTTAGAGCTGGAGAGGACCTTAGTGATCACCTAATTTAACCCTTCCACAGTTGTGGAAATTCAGGTGCAGAGGGGTTGTGTAGGTTTGCCCAAGGTGATTCAATTGTGTCAGAGCCTGGATTTAAACAGGTCTTCTGGCTCCAAATCCACTGCTAGTTCTACTAAACCATGCTGTCCCCCTTAGGCTGTCCTTTGCCCTGACCCCTTTCAGGGTGCATTATACTTATCTGTGTTGATTTAGCTACCTGTTAGATTGCAAGCTCCTTGAGGGCAGACATAGAGTTCCTTTTGTCTTTGTATCCCCAGTGCCTAACACAGTGCCTTGCATTTAGTAGGTGCTTACTAACTGCTTCTAGAATGAAAGTGAAATTTGTTCTGCTTTAGAGGACTCAGGTCATTTCTCAAGTTGATAACAATACGTACAACTGGATTTTTGAACGAATTTTTCCCCCAACAGATTGATTGTGCCAAGTCCACATTTTCCCAAATGAGGGAGGTTAATCAAAAGTAATAATGATAGCTCATGCTACCTCAGTCATAACTAAGGCAATATGACTGGGGCTTTTCCATAGGGCACCCAATTTAGTGGGTACTCATAGTACTCAGTCATTCCATAAGTTAGTTAACAAGACTAAGGAATTAAAATAAGAAACTATTAGATAGTGGGCTGGGTTGACCTCCTCAAATACCCACCTATGCACAGCAACCCCTCTGGATGTACCAGGAATCTCTGTCTCCCTCTCCCATTGCAACTGCTATTGTGACCTCACCCAAAGCACCTAGAGTCCTGGTGTGGATCTCTGTCTCCCACTCACCATATCTCAAATCCTAAGTGAAGGTTCACTGTGTGATAATTGACCTGGACACAATTTCCTAATTCGTGATTCCTAATTTTTTAGTTCTTCTGCTTTACCTGAAAAATTTTGCCTTTCCAACTCAAACAAGCCTTTGAAGGAGTTGAGTTTTAGACTGTGCCTATGGTTTGTAGCAAAACAAATACACCACCGAATGTTTTTATTATTATTATGAATGATTATTACTTGCATTTATCTAGTGCTTTAAGATTTGTAACTGTTTTACACGTATTAGTCAACCTGTGTTAGCTTAACCCTCTTAGGCTATCACCTTTTATTCAACTCCACATTTAGAACCATGTAAGAATTTTCTTAGGGATAATATTAGCTCATGTTCAATCAAGAACAATTAATTCTGGAAAAGATGAGTTACTTATCTCAGCCTAGACTTCTTAAGTCTGTGGATTGGCCCTGGTTGTTTCAAACCAATGTTCAAGTTAACTTAGAAACCATGCCCCAACCAATGGGATACCCTTTGTTCAGAAGTTTTTCCTCATCAAATCATCTCCAAATTATCTCCATCATCCATTTGAGAATTTAGGAAACTGAGTTCTAGTCTGTTTGAACTTGCATAAGCTTTTCTGAAACACATACTATTATTATTTGTTCTTTGCTCTGGAAGTTTGGCCAAGGGCAATAAAGTTTGGGCCTGACCCTAGGCATACCCCACCCTTTCCTCTTTTTTGTACTTCTTCCATCTACTTTCCTTTCTGACCTTGACCTGTTAGGTTAGCTATAAGAACCACAGCAAAACACCTCCATCCAGTCCCCCAGGGGAAGCAGTCTTGGGGGATCACATTTGTCTATCTCGTTCCTTCCAGGCTAAGCAAAAACTAAAAGCCTAAGTCTCTACCTAGAGCTTAGCAGAGTACCTGACACATAGTAGGCCCACAATAAATGCTTCTCAACCTGACTGACCTGTGCAATGCCAAAAACATGTGATCACTTAGTGTTGTCAGTTCAATCCAACAATCATTTATCTAACCCCTACTGTGTGCCAGGCACTAGTACTAAGAATATAAAGTGGGAAGTGAAAACAGTCTCAGCCCTTTTGTCACTTTTCCCCCAACCAGGAGTTTTCTTTCTACTGGATTAATAGTCATCATTACAAGTAGATTCCCATCTCCAGCATCCCTGAGTGGCTCTGCTCAGATTGATGTGAATGAATGAAAGAAAAAGCATTTATTAAATGTGTGTGTGCCAGGCACTGTGCTGAGCCCCAGGGATTCGAATACAAAAAGAAAGACAGCTCTTACCCTCATGGAATCTACATTTTAATAAAGGAAAACCGCAGTATAAGGGAACAGTGATTAGAGAAGGGTATATTGGACAAGGGAGTCAAAGAGATGGCCATAAGGCCATTCATTAATTGATGTAACCTTTCCAGTACTGATTTTACTATGTTTCCAGGGCTAGAAAGGGGCAGGTGAGCAAAGCAGTAGTCTGGGGAATAGAGCATGAGAATTACTGGAGAACTGGGCATAGCAAACTGGGAGCTCCAATTTGGGTAGGGGGTGGGAGTGGAGATTGAGAATTATACTCATCCTCAGGGAGAGTTCTGTGAGAGAGGCACAGGCAGGGGTTCCAGCCCAGCCATACCACTCCCATTTTCTTCCTTTTCTTGATGAATAGGAGTATGGGAAGTGTTCCTCAGCTAAGTCAGGGTCAGCAGGAAAAGAGAGGGAAGGCCAATACTGCACTTACAGGAGCATCAGGGAAGCTTGGATGAGTGAGAAAGGAGGAAGGAAGTTATGAAGGCAGCTGCTCTGAAGTAAAGAGGCTGCAGAGAGAGGACTAGGGAAGCCCTGGGTGGGCCTTTCAGGGAGCCTGACTTTGTCTTCAAACAAGGAAAAGCTTCCAAACACTGAAAGCTGTCCAGAAGGGGAATGTGCTGCCCTCCAGGGAGATGGATCCCTCAGAGCATGGCTGGCTAAATTATCAATCAGTTAGCAAGCATTTGTTTAGAAACTTCTATATCCCAGGCACTGTGCTACGCACTAGAGATACAAATGCAAGACTGAAATAACTGCTGCCCTCAAGAAGTTTGCGTTCTAACAGGATATGATAGAACAGAACGGAACAGAACAGAACTGAACATAATATAATACATACAGGCAGTGGTGTGCTAGTAAATGCTTAACAACCAGCTCTTCAGAAAATTAAAGTTCCAATACACTTTTAAGTTTAATCTGCATTATTAACATTTTCTCCATCACTTTTTAAAATCTTAGACGATCAACAAAACAGTAAGGTAAGCCCTGATTTGTGACTAGCCTGTTTCCAAGGTATAAGCGCTGGTGCTGAAATTTTAACAATTGGCTTTTATAAGAGCCCGTAAGAGCTGGCTCCTGCACACCCTTGTACACAGGGGAGCAGTTGCAAAGAAGGAAGTTTTGGTCTAGGCAGCCTCAGGACAGTAGATTGTCGTGTCCTATCTGCTAAGGGCGATACTATTGATCGGAATATTGTTCTGAGTGCAAAAGCCAAAGGAGGAGAGGTGGTGTGGGAGTAGTGGCAGGGCAGATGATCAGGTGCTTCACAGGACATGAAGCACAGGCTGAGTCAGGCCCAAGAGAGTGGGCTGGAAGGAGGGGATGCTTCTTGCCCCATTGTTGAGTGACACTGTCTTGTGGGAGGTATCAAGAGTGCCCTCGTCTCTGTTGCCCCTTCTCTTACTCCTGGGAATGCCCAGAACTCAGGTGTGCTTTTCTGATCACACAAGCTCTCTGTCCCTAGGCACAGGGTGCAACGCCTGCTACATGGAGGAGATGGAAAACGTGGAACTGGTGGAAGGGGATGAAGGCCGGATGTGTGTGAACACCGAGTGGGGAGCCTTTGGGGATGCCGGGGAACTTGACGAGTTCCTGTTGGAGTATGACCGGGTGGTGGACGAGACCTCGCTGAACCCCGGTCAGCAGCTGTAAGAACCCTGTGGGCACAACTCTCTGATTCCCGAGCCTGCTCGTCATCCTTCCCATCATGGTCATGTGACTGCTCCTCTCCTCTGCAGCCCCCTCCCTCAAACTTGCCCTGCCTAATTGTCCCCTCCTCTCAACAGCAGTCCATCCTGCACTATCTAGTGTAAAGTGAAATTCTTTACTTTGATATTGCTGAGGGAGTTCCTGTCACATTGTATATGTGAATGTGCACTGGAACATGGTCTCATGCATTTAAATTTAATGCACTAATAACGCTATCTTTAAGGAGACATAGGAATCTCTCCTTGTACGTCCCTTTCTTCGCTTCCTCCTGTTTCCCCCTCTCCCGTCTTCTCAGACTTTTCCTCTCCTCCTCGAATTGACATCTATTTTCCAGGGACAGGTGATAGCTCACATGGGGGAAAGTGTCTAATGTATGTGTATAACCCCTCACAGCCTTACTAAGAAATAACATGAGGGTCTTGGGACTCAGGGCCAGAGATAGGATATGAAGGCCTTATACTTGGGCCTGGCTGTCAGGACAAAGCTGTCTGGCTCCTAGAATGGAAGGTTGCTAAGGCCCTGGGACAGTTAGGATGACCCTTATGTCCTTGAACACATATCACAGCAGAGTTGGACAATTCCTGAAACTGTAGGGCCTGAATGCTTTAGCATTTGAGAATGAGAATTAAATTTAAAACTTTAAAGTGAAAAAAAAAAGTCATCCAAGTCTATCTATACAAGATGACCTTGTAGTCCTGATACTATGCAGGAGCTGTCATGAAATTCATCTGTGTGGAAGGGGCTTTTCTGTGTTGTCTAACCTTCTGTTTTCTATCACCTCTCAAGTATACCAGACCCAGAGATAATGATCTTGTTTTTGAATAGCTCCTGGGGAAGAAGGGTTTATGATCTCCCTTTATACTGCAGATTAACCACACTTTGGAGCAAGAAGGGGAGACCCAGAAATCATCTGTCATAGCCCCCTCATTTCACAGAAACTGAGGCCCAGATCCCACTGATAGAGCCAGACCTGGGTGTCCTGACACCCAGTCCAGGGTTCTTTCTCTTTTTGAAAAAAAAAAGTGTTATTAGTGCATTTAATGACATGTGATTATTTCTCCATAATCCTCCCTCTCCCAAGTAGAACCTCCCTTGTCACAAAGATGTGCAGTGAAATACACCATAATGATCCGAGAACCATGTATGACAGTCCATGCATACCTCATCCCCTAATGTATTCCATCACAACCGTGCTTTGTAATAAAGAAAAACAGGAAAGCAAAACCAATGGATGCAGCAATCATGTTTGTGCACATCTGCTTCCAGTGGTTTTTGTTTTTCAGTTTTTTAAATTGGCATTTTTTTTGCATTCTTTCCATTATGTTCCCTCCCTAAATTATTTTCCTTCCTTTCACAGATGAAGGAAACCAGCACACATGTCCATACTATGTCCTTTTCATGAGGCCAATGGCTCATAAACACCCATAAACGCATACATTCATGCGGAAGGTTACACTGCTAGTTCTCCTGAAGCCATTGAGAGGACCCCTTGAGCATGCAGGTCCAGACATTTAGATAGTTAAGCTCTGTGCTCACTTTGGCAGTACATATGTTAAAACTGGAATATTAAAATATTAGCATGGGCTCTGTGCAATGATGACGTGCAAATTTGTGAAGCATTCCATATTTTTAAAACAAACCAAAAAAGCTATTTGAGTAATTTTCCTATGGCATTGCCCCAGGGCTCTGGTGCTAAGGCTCAGGAAAAGGAGAGAAGGGAAGGGCAGAGATAGCTAGACCTGGGCTCATTTGAATATGGTGTGACTGTCTCTTGATGACCAAGGCTCTCCTTCCTCCGCACAGTTATGAGAAGATCATCGGGGGCAAGTACATGGGGGAGATCGTGAGGCTGGTTCTACTGAAGCTAGTGGATGAGAATTTGCTGTTCAACGGGGAAGCATCTGAACAGCTGAGGACCCGAGGGGCCTTCGAGACTCGTTTTGTCTCCCAAGTGGAGAGGTATCACACTGCTATGTTCTCAGTCATCCTGTCCCCTCGGGCCCCACAGAGTACAATTTCCTGGGGTGGGAGCCCTCCCTCCAGACAGACCTCTCTATAGCTAGCTAGCTCATAGCCCCTGCCCTTGAAGGGCGCTTGACATGTTTTCAATTCATACTCAACACCTTAGATTTTAGGTAAATCTGAACTAAATTCCCACCTCTCATACACTTGACCCAGAGTTAAGCTGTCACTAACCAAATGACCAAAGAGCACAAAAATAATACCTCCCATAATAGATAGAATCAGGAAGAACTGGATTCAAATCCTGCCTCTTACATACACTTGCTGTGTGACTCTGGGCGAGTCATTTATCATCTCTGTGCCCCAGGCAACAGTCTAAGATGATGAGTTAAAGACCAGTTGCTAATCTATACCAGTGGAGGCAATTTCCACACTGGGAGTTCCCTCAAGTATTTAAATGCTTCACGTGGATCTATGGTCTCATTTATGTGGGTATTCCCTCCAGTGATAAAGATTGAAATCCATTCATGCCTATCAATCCTGTGGGATTCTCTAGTCCATATCTATCTATAAATTCAACATGGTAGTCCACCCCATGTGTCAAAGAACCTTTTAACTTTCTCTTGACATCTCAAGAAATACTATAAGGATATTATGCTTTGATATAAGGATGAGAGCTGTCCTTATACCAATAAAATCACAAGTCCAGATCACAAAGACCATCTCTCCCCCTGCAAAAAAAATGCCCCCAAACCAAAAAACAAACAAACAAAACCCATCAGGTCAGTTAGAGAGGTCTATTAACCCAGTTGGCCTTTCATTTGGAACTCAGCAGACTGAGTTCTGGGGTGGCTACTTGCTCCACTGGCCACACGCACACTCATGCTCGTACCCACACACACTCCACACTATCCAAAGCAGCAGACTCATCACACGCTCACTTGAAAGGCCCTGCTCTTCTCTTCCTGTTTGATCACCCAGTCTGTACAGCTCTCCAACACTGCCCTCTGTCTCCCTTTCCATAGTGATTCTGGGGATGGAAAGCAGATCTACAACATCCTAAGTACCCTGGGACTGCTCCCCTCCACGACAGACTGTGATATTGTGCGCATGGCCTGTGAGAGTGTTTCCACCCGGGCAGCCCAAATGTGCTCAGCAGGGCTGGCAGGTGTCATCAACCGAATGCGGGAGAGTCGCAGTGAGGAGGTCATGAGGATCACTGTAGGTGTGGATGGCTCCGTCTACAAACTGCATCCCAGGTGAGGCCCCCCTTGGTCCCACCCCAGAGACAGTGATGGTAGATGTTCTCTGGACAGAAGTAGATAGATGCACCCATTCCCAAACCACTGATGGTCCTGAGATGAATTAGAGATTCAAGATCCACGGCTGGTAAGCAGCAGGAAAAGGGTGAACCAGACATGTAAAGTTCTCTCAATCTGCAGTCTAACCTTGGTGTCTTGAGGTTATGGTCTTCAGTTAGAAACCTTTTCTAATATTTCAGTCTTTCAGAAGGAATCTCCCATGTGGAAACTCTTTCCACTGATATAGGTCCCCAGTTGGCCTATAATTTAGAGTCACAGAGAGTCACCTAGGGCCCTAAGAGGGTAAAGTGAGGGAAAGGCCATGGTCATATAGCTAGGGTGTGTCAGAGACAAGATTTGAACTTGGGTCCTGTTGACTCAGGGGCCAGCCATTTCCAGCCTTGTGCCTCTTCAGATCACCTTGGGAATTTCTCCTGGGCTCATAAGGTGAGACTAGAACCTCCACTTCCTGAATTGAGTCTAGAAGGCCCCCTTGCCACCCTGTAGGGGCAGGTCAGCATTCCTCTACTTCCCACTTGCCACATCAGTCATCTGAGTCTTTTTGTCAGGGCACAGAGCTGGACCCATCCACTGTCTCCAGTCTCTTCTAGGCTACAAAACAATACTCGATCAGAAGGATTGCAGTAAGGTTTTCCAGTTAGTTAGTCAATAAGCATTTTTAAAATACCTACTGTGTTCCAGGCACTGTGCTAATCCCTGGGGTTCAGGCAACAGTGTTTGGTGAAGAGAGAAAGGAAAGAAGAAAGTGGCAAGCTCTGGCTTTAATTCCATTTCCCCATTCTGGGAAGGTTCAGACCTTTCCCTCCCCTTCTTCCTTCCTGATCCTTTCTACCCCCTCCCTCAGTCCAAAGTGACAGAGAAGGGCAAGAAGCCTAGTTGAAGCCAAACTCGTGTAACATTTTAGCCTTTCTACAACTTGATGACTTTAAGTGTGGTTCTGAAGCCAGAGGAACTGAGTTTAAGTCCTACTTCTGATGCTTAATATATGTATGATCTTGGGCAGGTTACTTAACATTCCTGAGCCTCAGTTTCCTCATCTGTAAAATGAGCCTGTTGAGCTAGATGGCCCCTGAGGTGCTTTCCAGATCTATAATCCTTTGAACCTCTCTGGGCCTCAGTCAGTTTACAGGTACTTATTAAGCATCTGCTATGTGCACAGGCTTTCTGTTAAGTGCTGGATTTCACTCACTAGGAAAGTGACATGACCGGCCTTGCACTTTAAGATTAATTTGACAGCTGAGTGGAGGATGGATGGGAGTGGGGAGAGACTTGAGACAGGTAGACTGACAAGCAGGTTATTGCAAAAGTCTAGGCAAGAAGCAAAGAGGGCCTCTACCAGGATGGTGGCACTGTCAGAGGAGAGACAAGATATTACAAACGTAGAATTGATGGGATTCGGTAACTAATTGAATTTGTGGAGTGAGAGTGAGGAATTGAGAATGACACCTAGGAAGTGTGGTGGTGCCCTTAACAGGAAAATTAAAGGGGATGATTTGGGGGTAGGGATGGGGGATGGGGGAAGAAGACAATGAATTCAACTTTGGACATGTTGAGCTTAAGATGTCTATGGGACAAAAAGTTTAAGCTATCCAATAGGCATTTAGAGATGTGAGATTGAAAGTTGAGAGAGAGGTTAGGGCTGGATAAATAGATCTGGGGTTAATAAGCATAGAGACGATAATTGAATCCATAAGAACAGATGAGATCGCCAAAGAAAATAGTACAGAAGTAGAAAAGAAGAGCGTCAAGAATAGTTAGTAGCATAACATGGATGAAGATCCAGTAAAGACTGAGAAAGAGTGAATAGGTAGGAGGAAAACTAGGCAAGAGTATTTTCTTAATATTTAAATAAGGGAATTATGGGAATAGAAATAGCATATTAGGACTTAGAAGAACCTAGTTCCCGTAAGTACTCTAAGCATGAACCTGAAGGAACAATGATAAAGAAAACCAAAGAGAAATCAGCTATAAATATCTCTATCCAGTCGAAGACTGCACAAAAAGATTGCCAGAATTCTATAGAAGTACAGAGGGTAGACAGGCTACCTAAAGAGAACTTTAGAAAAATTAGATATGATAGCTCTCTGGCAATTAGTTAACGGTAACTAAAAGGAAGTTACATATTTCTCAAGTATTTGTGACACCTTTATAAAAACTGACAATGTGTCAGGGCACAAAAACCTTACAAACAAATGCAGAAAAGCAGAAAAGGATATCAAATGTAAAAGGAGAGAATTGAATTAGATGGCCTTGGAGGACCTTCCCAGTTCTATATCTATAATCCTATGATCAATATCCCCACTTTGTGCCTACTTTGAGGGCTGATTCAGAGTGGAGGGAAGGTGAAGGCCCTGTGTACAGGAGAGAGGAGGGTTGTGGATGGGGGCTGCTGAAGGGCTCACCTCTTTCTGCCCTGCCAAGGGTCTTCTCACCCAGTATTAACTACTCCTCTCTTGTGTCTATACAGCTTCAAACACCGATTTCATGCTACTGTGCGACAGCTGGCACCCTGTTGTGACATCTCTTTTATCCAGTCAGAGGAGGGCAGTGGCCGGGGTGCTGCCCTTGTCTCTGCTGTGGCCTGCAAAAAGGCCTGCATGCTTAACCAGTGAAGGCAGGTGTGGCCCCTGCCTGCCTAGGCATCTGCCAGGGGCAGTGCTCACAGGAAGCTGCTTCCCAGCTCCTTCAGCCCTTGGTCCAGGACAGAACTTCTGCCCCCTTTCACCTCGAGGAGGCTGGGCTTTTGCTGAAAGCATGTTCCGTGGAAGATATACTCTTGGGGGTTGTTCCTTCTCCCAAAGGAGGAAGCTGAGGGGTGCAAAGCAGCTTGTTTCTCTCCATGCAGCAGCTGGCTGCCTCTCCATGGATGTGGGACTTGACAACCTGTGGTATCTGCGTGCCGTACTCAGCTCAGGACCAGGGGGAAATATGAGGACCAGGAAGAAAGACCTGGCAGAGAAGGAATGGCCTCAAACAGATCTGTAACTAGGAATTTTTGCATCTGGATCAAGGGAAAGGAAGATGCTGGGGGGAATTCACTTGGGGTGCGGCCATCAGGGGAGAAAGAATACTCCAGGGCACCACAAGATTTCTATGCTGCTGAAGGACTGACTTGTACTGGGTGGCAGTAGGTGGAGTGGGGGACACTACAGGCCAGAGTTTAGCCAATAGAGGAAGAAAGTATGCCCTGGGACAGGTGCCCTAGGGCAAAATCTTTGTAATTCCTTTCTAGTTAATAGCTCTGGCCTTAAAGAATGACCTCCTACACAACTCCGTCCAAGCCCACCAACATAGCCAGGATATTGTGTCTCCCTCCCCCATCTCCTCATACCTCTCCCTCCCCTAGTGTCCTATCCTCTCTTCCTAGCTGGTAGCCAGGGGCTTAATTGAAACCTAGTCGTGGCCAGGGATGGTCTATTCCTGTAAGGTGGTGTGTGTGGCTTTAGCCTGATGGTAGGGATCCTAGTTCTCCTGATGACACCACAGCCAGCTTCCTTTTTAATGGCTGACCTGTATATGCTTGCTGCTTCTATCAGGGTAAGCTCCTGGATCCCTGGCATGGCAAGTCAGCTTTACTACAACCATCCAGACCTTGCCGGTCTGCTCCCCACTAGGATCGCTAGTATTCAGACTCAAAAGATTCTCCCTTTCCTCTCACCTGAGTCCCAGAAAGGCAGGAGCCTATGTGGGGTTGTTTGGGGCAGGGGGTGGGGTGGGGGGGTGGAGTCTATGTGGGAATAACCTAGTCCATTTGTGCCATTGAGAGAACCAAAGACCACAGATTCCCTGAATCTTCAGGCAAGTTGGTATTCACACGGGTAGTCCTTGGTCCTTTTTCTCCTAGGAAATATACCCAGTAATACAAAATGAAACTGAACCGCACCAAGAGGAAAGAAATCATCTAAGACCTTCCCCCTGATCCCCACCACCCAAGCTTGGCAAGTCAATTGAGCCATATAGCCTCATGAGGTATCCCTGCATGCTAGAAACATATACCACCTCATAACCACAACAGAAGACACAAAGCCCTTCCTGCCTCTCTCTTGGCAGGGGAGTCCACATAACTTCCTGGGGCTCTTATTGTACAAGTCCTTCCCCAGTCACTCCTCAAAGGAAGGCTCTGGAGCCAGGCCTTAATACTGATATCAGTAGATTGTATACCCATTGAACCACAAAGTCCTGGGTATCACAAACACACACACACACGTAAAGCCAAGCCCTTTCTCTTCCACATTGTAAAACCAGCATACTCATCACAAACTCACCACAATCCTCTATTCTTTCCCTGATTGTCTTTTTATTTTTAAATAAAGAAAAATTTGAAATATGGCATCTTGGGTCAGTTCAATGGTGATGGTTTTATAAATATGCTTACTAAATAACATATGGGGAGATATATTAATATAATTTAACAGCACATATATAGCTTATGGAAATTCTTCCCTTACTAGGTCCATCCCCTTCCTACCCAGTTTCACCCATGGGCCACTCTTAATATGGGTGACTGCCCCAGGCTAGGGTACTTTACAATAACATCTGATATTTGTATAGCACATTAATACTTGCAAAGCACTTTCCTCAGAAGAACAGTTTGTTGGGGATAGTAAAGGTATTATTTTCTACCATATTGCAGATGAGGAGATGGAGGCTCTGAGAAATGAAGACCTTGGCCAAGGTCATACAGCTAGTAAGTGGCAGACCCAGGGCTAGAAGCCAACTCTTCTAAATCCAAGCCCTGTACTCTTTTCACTGCTTTATGCTGAGTATATAGATCTGGGAATTATATGAATAGAGATAATAATTAAACCCATAGAAGTTGATGAGGTCACCACGAGAGTAATTGTATTGAGAATATGAGGACCAGGACAAAGCCTTGGGGAACACCCTCAGTTATGGGGAGGGGGCTTGATGTGAATGGTAAGATGAAAAAGGAGATGTATAAAGAGTGGTCAGACATACAAGCCAAGGACCAGGAGAGAGAAATAGTGTTGAAAAAATCCAGAGATGAGAGGAGGGTGGTCCACAGTACAAAATGCAACAGCGAGGCAGCCAGAAATTGAACTCAGTGCCTCTGACCATGGGACTTTTTTGTTTCTCTTAAGAGATGAAGGATGAAGATTGAGGAAAAAGCCATCAAATTATGTCAATAGTAACCTTGGGAAAAGTAGTTTCAGTTAAGCATAGATTCCAAATCTAGATTTCAAAGAGCTAAGAAGTGAATAAGAGAATTAGCGGTAATGAAGCCACTTGGCTGAAAAGAAATTAGGAGAAATTTATTTTGTTTTGTTTTTAAGGATAGAGACTTAAGGCATATTTGAAGTCAGGGAAGAAAACATTAGATAGGGAGAAGCTGAAGATGAGAAAGAAAGAGGGGATGATTGAGGAAGCTGTCTGCTGGAGAAGACTGTAACAGAAGATGGGATCAAGGGCACATGGAGAGGGGCAAGGAAGGCCATCTTATCATCAGAGACTGGAGAAAGAGACAGTATATTGCGGTAGAAAGTGTTGGTATTGGAGTCAGGGGTCCTGGGTTCACTTCCTGGCTGTTACTTCTGAAACCTGAGTGACCTTGGGCAAACGACTCAATGGGAGTTGGTTTCCTTATTCGTAAAATGAGAGGGGTAGGCTAGATGGCTTTTGAGGTCCCAGCTCTAAAACCAAGCTCATATAAAAAGAGAGTGGGGATGACTTCAGGGGGTCTGAGATGAGTGGGGGAGAAAAGGGAGCTCCGCCAAATAGCCTCCATTTTCTTTGTGAAATAAGAGTCTAGATCCTCAGGTGAGAGGGCGTGGGAGGGGAGGGGCGGTGTGAGAGGCTTCTATCAGGGGGAGATAGGAAATCAACTAGGGAGCAGGAGGAGGAGTATTCTCTTGCTATGGGAGGAGCCCAGTTGAAGTTGGATAATATGAATTTGTAGTTCCCAGTCAGCAGGGTTGTATGACTTCTTCCAGTTCTATTTAGCTGCAGAAGTGGAGGAGGCACATGGTGGGAGTAATGCAGGGCTGGGGTTTGGCAAGGGATGAGCAGCAATAATTCAAAGGGGTGAAGGATTCAAAAATAGAGAACAGAGTGGAGTTGAATTGGTTAACTAGAGGGTAGGAACTGGGAAGGAGAGTGAAGTCAGAACAAAGGTAATGAACAGTCTGACGAAGTGCTTAGGGATGGAGGGATTGGAGGTTGTGATGAGATGAAGAACAGAAGGGGAAGGCACAGGAGAAAGATAGAATGAAAGGAGATCATGGACCGATAGGCATGTCGGAGCTTTTCATCAAGGATCATTCTTCAATGCTTTGCTTATGGCCACTCCCTCCGAGGAACTCTACATGCTTGTATGTATTCTCTCCTGCCCCCTCAGCCAGGGAGGGAGGCTGAGAGATGTTTGCCCGTGACATCGTACCTGGAGTGTTGTTTTCAGCTTTGGGTAACACATTTTTGTTTTCTAAAAAAGTGACTAACAGAGGGGCAGCCAGGATGTAAAAGGGCCTCGAGTTCCTACCTTGTGAGGAGGAGGTCTGAAGGGTTGGGAATACTTAGCCTGAAGAAGACAAGACCCAAAGAACAGGTGACAGCTGTCTTTAAGTACTTCACCATACAGAATCTCAGAATTTGAGAGGTAGATGGAACTTCAGTGACATCTAGTATCAGCCGTAAATGAAAGGAATCCCCATTATAGCACACCCAATGAATGGTCATCCAGCTCTGCTTGAAGACCTCCAAGGAGAGGGAGCCACCTCCTCTCAAGGCACATCTAATTGTCAGGAATGTCTTCATGAATTAAGCCTAAACTTTCTTGTTTGGAATTTCCACCCGTTGCTCCTAGTTCTGCCCTTCGAGACCAAATGGAACAAATATAGTCCTACTTACAGCCCTTCAAATATTTGAAGACATGCCCCACCTTGAGTCTTCTTTTCTCCAGGTTAACCTCCCCATTTCCTTCAACAGATACTCAAATGACATGAACTCCTGGTCTTTTCCCATCCTGGTTGCCCTTCCTCTGGACACTCTCCATCCTATCAATGTCCTTCCTAAACCGTGGAACCCAGCACTGAACACAGTACTCCAGATGAAATCGGAAAAGGGCAGAATAGAGTGAGACTATCAATTGCTATTCCTGGAAGCCAATGCCTCTTATTGCAGCCCAAGATTGAATAAGTTTTTTTGGCTGCCATATTAAGCTGCTGCCTCATATTGAGTTTGTAAGCAACTAAACTCCTTCCCCACCCAGATCTTTTTCAGGGCTTCGCACATCCCCCATGTTGTATTTGTGAAGTTGATTTTTTGTACCTAATTTTACATTTTGCAAGATTTTACATTACCCCTATTGAGTTTCATCTTGTTGAGTCAGTCCAAAATCTTAACCTGGCAAGATCCCTTTGGATCCTGATTGTTATCCACTATTTTAGCTATCCCTCCTACCTTTGCATACTCTACAAATTTGATGAACATACCTCATATGCTTTTATCTGAACTGATGATAGAAAGGTGACACAGAACAGGGCCAAACACAGATCCATGAGATACTCCACTGGAGACTTCTTGCCATGTTGCTATTGATCCATCTGACTAATTTTGATCCCATTTGATTGTGTTATTGTTGAATCCATCTCTTCATCTTTTCCATGAGAATAACATGCTATTGTGCTGTAAGAAACAATGATGGAAATGATTTCAGAAAAACCTAGGAAGTCTTAGATGAACTGATACAAAGTAAAGTGAGTAGAACCAGAACAACTTATACAGTAACAGCAATATTGTCAAGATGATCAATTGTAAAAGACTCAGTAACCTTGATCAACACAATAACCAATAATAATTCCAAAGGACTCATGACAAAATGCTATCTACCTCCAGATAGAGAAGTAGTGGACTCAGTGCAGATTGAAGCATATTTTTTTCTTACTTCTTCTCTTTTTTTCTGGAATATAGCTAATATGAAAATTTGTTTTGTGTGACTTCATATTTATAATGAGTTTTGTATTTCTTGCCTTCTTAAGGGACAAGGGAGGGAGAGAATTTGGAACTGAAAATAAAATAAAATTGAATTTTTAAAGAAAAATGACATGAGATACTTTATGAAAAGCTTCACTAAAATCTGGTAAAACTATACCCACAGCATCCCCCCATCTGCTAGTTTAGCAATCATGTCAAAAAAGGAAATGAAGTGAGTTTGGGAGGACTTGTACTTCATCAAATACATGATGGCTTTTGGTAGACACTATTGCTCTTCCTACATGCTTACCAACCCTCTCTTCATTGCTCCTTCAATTATAGTTTGCAGACCTAGCTCTCTTTCCTCTTTTGAAAACTGAAACAACATTTGCCCTTCTTCAGTCTTATGGTACCTCTCCCATTTTCCATGATCATTCAACTATCAACAGTGGCTCAAAAATCACAAGTCAAATCAACAAGCATTTATTAAATGCCTACTATGTGCAATTGTTCACTCATTTTCAGTCATATCTGACTCTTCGTGACCCCATTTGGGGGTTTCTTAACAAAGATACTGGAGTGGTTTGCCATTTCCTTCTCCACCTCATTCTATAGCTGAGGAAACTGAGGCAAACAGGGTTAAGTGACTTGCCCAAGATCACACAGCTGGTAAGTGTCTGAAGCCAGATTTGAACTCACGAAGATGAGTCTTCCTTGGCAGTCTATCCACTGCACCACCTAGCTG